GATAAAGTCTCAGACACCGCTATCATCATCCTGGATATGTCCTACCAACAGGACAAACCCACCAGAAGTGTCTTGGCTGATGAATTGGTTATCCCTCATGTTGAACACCACTTGGAGGAAGCACTGGGGGAGGCAAGGGCTCAGAATGAATTCTGGTTGGAAAGTCTCAATGTACATGTCCAAGTGTGACTAGAAAGCACCACTGCTGACTGAGCTGGTTGAGTTCATAGTTGTTAGAATGTGTTTGTGACAAGTGGTGAGGAAAAATCTATCTGACCTTGTCCTCACCAATCCACCTGTTGCAAATATGACAGAATTGGTAAGAGTCAGTATGACAATGTTCAGTCTTCAGATTGAGGTTACCCTCCAACATGTTATTGACATTATCACCATGCTAAATGAAACAGACATCAAACAAATCTAGCAACTCAACACTGGGCATCACTTGAAGCCATCTTTGGACTGCCATCAGCAGCAGAATTGTATTCAACCACAATCTGTGACATCATGGCCCAGCATATCCCCCAGTTGACCATTATCTTCAAACTTTGGGATATATGCTAATTCAATGAAGAGTGCAGCACTGGGCATATCTAAAAATGAGGTGTCAACCTGTTGAAGCTACAACATAAGATTATTTGCTTGCCTACCAGTGGAAGCAGCATGCAATAGACAGGGCTAAATAAACCCACAACCATTGAATAGATCTAAGTTCTGCAGTCTTGCCATTGTCAGTCATGAATGGTGGTGGACGATTAAAAACTAACAGAAGGTGGTGGTTCCGCAAATATTCCTGTCCTTAACAAAAACCAAAAGAACTGCGGATGCTGTAAATTATCATCTCTCTCCTTAACCACAGCCCAGCATACCAGTGCAAAAGAGAAGACTGAAGTATTTGCATTCATCATCAGCCAGAAGTACCGCGTGGATGATCCATTTCGGCTTCCTCTTGAGGTACCCAACATTACAGATTCGGTCTTCAACTAAGTTGATTCACTCCATGTGATATCAAAAAAATATCTGAACGCATTGAATACTACAAAGGCTATAGGTCCTTACAACATTCTGGCACCAGTACTGAAGACTTAGGCTCTACAACTAGCCACATCCCTAGCCAAAATTTTCCAGTACAATTACATCTGACATCTACCTGACAATGTAGAAAATTGACCAGATATGTTCTGTGCACAAAAAGCAGGAAAAATCCAATCCAGTCCATGTCAGTCAATTCTCCATCATCGGCAAAGTGATGGAAGGGGTCGTCGACAGTGAGATCAAGTGGAAATTGAAATAATGTTCTCACTAACCATCAGTTTGTTTTACATCAGAGCCACTCAGCTCCAAACCTCAGTACAGTCTTGTTTAAAATTAGACTGAGCAGAATTTCAGAAAGGAGAGAGTGACTGCCCTTGACATCAAAACACAATTTGACCAATCACAGCATCAAACTGGAGTCAATTGGTATCCGCGGTAAATTCTCTGTTGGTTGGAACCATATGTAGCACAATGGAAGATGGTTGTGGTTGTTGGAGGTCAATTATTTCAGCCCCAGGACATCACAGCATTTGTTCTTCAGGGTTGTGTCCCAGGGCAACCATCTTCAGCTGCTTTGTCAATTATCTTCCTTCCATCATAAGCTCAAAAATTAGGATGATCCCTGATGATTGCACCATCTTCAGTACTACTCATGACTGAAGTAGATGCTGAAGTAGTCCATGTTCAAATGCAGCAACACAAGGACAATATTCAGCTTTTGCTATGAAATGGAAAATAGCATTCATATGACATGTGATATGACAATCATGATGTATGACAATGATCATCACCAACAAGAGAGAATTTGACCGTCACTCCTTGCCTTTCAACGGTATGACTTTTGCTGAATCACCACTATGAAAATTCTGATGGTTACCCTTGATCAGAAGCTGAGCAGGATTCGCCATATAAAATACTGTGGCTTCAAAAGCAGGTCATTGACTCAGAATTCTGTGATGAGTAACTCACTTCCTATCTCCCTAGTAACTGTAACCATCTACAAGGCACAAGACCAGAAATCACATGACACCAGGCTATAGTCCAACAGGTTTATTTGAAAACACAAGGTTTCTGAGCCCCACTCCTTCTTCAGGTGTTAGTGAGACAGGTAGTATCAGACACAGAATTTTTAAGTTAAAGATCAAAGGATCACACCACTGATGAGGATTTATTAATCCCTTGATCTATTACATATAAATTCTGCGTCTGATACTAACTCTCTCACTAACACCTGAAGAAGGAGTGAGGCTCTGAAAGTTTGTGTTTTCAAATAATCCTGTTGGACTATAACCTGGTGTCATTTGATTTCTAACCTTGTCCACCCCAGTCCAACACCGGCACCTCCACTACAGGGCACAAGACAGGAGCGCAGTGCAATATTCTGCATTGGCCTGGATGAGTGCGGTCTGACAACTCTCAAGCAACATGACATCCAGGACAAAGCAGCTTGCTTGACTGGCACCACATCCAGCACTTTCATCATTCACTCCCTTCACTTCTGATGCACAATGGTAGTAGTGTGTAGCATCTAAAAGATGCAGTTCAGTAACCACCAGTGCTTCTCTGACACCATCTTCCAAATCTGCGATCCTCACCAGATACAGCATGGAAACAGACCCTTTGGTCCAACTCTTCCATGCTGACTTAAATTTCCCAAACTGAACTAGTCCAACTTGCCTGTGTTTGGCCCGTATGATGGGCAAGGACATCAGATTCTTGGGAACCACCACCTTAAAGCTACGTTCCAAGCCAAACACTATGCTGTCTTGGAACTATATCACTGTTCCTTTTGGGTCAAAATCACAGAACGAGCTTCCAAACAGCACTAGGGGTGACCCTACACCCAAAGGACTGCAGTGGTCAAGAAGACAGCTCATCACACATTCTCAAAGACAAAGTTTTTAAAAAAAAAAGTTTTATTTAACACTGACATCAGTGGGTAGTTGATTTCTGATGAGGTGAATAGCCATTGTCAGATAGATTGTAAATAGAATGATAGTTACCTCACAGTCTTACTTTGCACCAGTCAGTATTTTGAAAATGTTATAAGGACCCTGTATTTTCATCTTTATGTTGTTAACACCTGGACTGTAATGAGAAAGACTTTTTAAAACCAGCATTTGAAAGACCCACTGCAATTTTGATGGCAAGTAATCTGAAAGCCATGCCAGGCATTGTAAACACCTCTTTGAACAAACAATAATTGAAGTTCAAATTGCAAACGATCTGGAGCCGAGAGTTTGTGCTGATGCAGCTTTTATCGGCAACAAAAAGTTGTCTGGTCTATTGCCTAATGACAATTATCAATGGTGGAGTCCTTTTGCTTGCCAACAATTGTGTGATTGGTTCTTGGTGGCTGAACAGCTCAGCGCTGGAAACAAGTTACAGAGATACAGGAAAATAAATGTGCAGATCTTCTCCTAGCTCAGAAGCCTCTTCTCTGTAGTCAAAGACTCAGTTTAAACTTGAAGAAAACCAGATACTTTTCTTGCAGCAGGAGATAGCAAGAACTGCAGATGCTGGAGTCAGAGACAACAGTGTGGAGCTGGAGGAACACAGCATGCCAGGCAGCAAAGAGCAGGAAAGTTGACATTTTGGAAAATTAAGATGGGTCCCGACCCAAAACGTCAATTTTCCTGTTCCTTTGATGCTGCCTGGCCTGCTGTGTTCCTCTAGCTCCACACTGTGTTGTCACTTTTCATGCAGCAGTTGCTGTGAGCTGTGACTTTTGAATTGATCGATCAGAGACATTTTCCAAGTGATTCAGTTACTCTGTATTTCTAACACACCAGTAGAAGCACCCAGATAAAGCAATCTTAACAATAAAGGGTGTGGCCAGTTGAAGAAGGATCAATGGAACCCGGAAGCAAAGACCACTGAATCAACTTTCCAGTTTTTCTAATCTGGCTTAATCTATTTTTTCTATTAGTTTGTCTGTGTGGGTGTGTAAGGAGACCTAATTAGGGGAATTGAGTTTTAGTAGTATTATGTGGCGATCATTTATATCTGTCTACCCATAGTAACATTCTAATTACTTGTGACAAACAGTAGGTTTTGGTTAATACAGAAACCTAGTCCATGCTTTCTATCACCCTTGGTCTGACCATCAGGTTAATTGGGGTACTGTGTAAACTTTAAAAAAAATTGGTATGAAATCAGGAATAGTGAGGCTTGACCGTCTCATCAATGTGGTTGGTCCAGGACATATTGTTGGTGATCATCATTCCTAGAAACTTGATGCTCTTGATCATCTCCACCTCAGTTCCATTGATGTAGATAGTCCTCCTCCTTGCTTCATGAAGTCGACATGGAAGGAGGTCGTTAAGTTCTAGAATTATTAAACTTGATATTGAGTCTTGAAAGTCTAAGTGGAAGATGAAGTGTTGCTCTTCCAGCTTGCATTGAATTTTGCTGGAACACTGCAACAGGGCCTGAGACAGAAATGGCAGCCAGGGAACACAGCTGCACGTTGACGTGGCGGAGAACTGGAAGCTTGGGGTCATTTTTAAGGTCAGAGCTTAGGTGTTCCTCAAAGCAGTCACCTGTTCAGCATTTTGTTTCTCTGATGAGGTCGTCTCATGAAGAAAAACAGAAATTGCTTTAGAAACTTGGTGGGTCTGGCAGCATACCTGGAGGAAAAACAGGGTCAACGTCCCGTGACCCTTCTTCAGAAGCAAAGATTGCTGGAGAAACTCAGCAGGTCTGGCAGCATCTGTGGAGCGAAAACAAAGTTAACAGAATTCAAGATAACAAGGTGTAGAGCTGGATGAACGCATCAGAGGAGCAGGAAAGCTGACGTTTCGGGTCTAGACCCTCCAGGATTCAAGGCGTTTTCTTTCCTCCAGAAGCTGCCAGATCCTGAGGAGCTCAACTTTGGGTTTGGGTTTGGCACGCACCTGCCAATCAGATTACATCACCACCGGTGGCCGTACGGGGTTGGGGGCGGTGTGTGGAAGGGAGGCTTCAAAGAGGCAAGGTGCGCGCAGGCTGCACGCGCGCGCACGCCGCCGTCACCACCTCCTTCGAGTCTCTGGCTCACTCCCCCACCCGCCGGCAGCCGCCCCGCCGCGATGGAGGGGGATTAATTTTTATATCATCACAATATCCTCTCTCACTTACACACACACTCCCAATCAGTCCAGAAAATGGCGAACCCGTGTCACAGTCAGCAATGTTCGATCGAAAGGCGCGGCTTCCGACAGGAGCTCGACTCTTGGAGACATAAACTTGTTCACTGTGTAGGTAAGATTTAATGTATTAAAAATATGGACAGGGAGAGGGGAGAGTCGGCTTCTATGAACGCACACAGTTTAAAGAGAAAGTGTATCTCCATCATCCCCATTGCCAGTTGTGTGGAAGTGGTTAATGTTGAAGTGACAGATTCTTAATACTATGGTGCTGGGGGTGCTATCTTTGATCTTTAAGACAAAACTCGTCATTCGTTCAACCTCACAGCTAATAAACATCACCCATCATTATAAATCTATATAAGTTGGCGAACAGCGTTTGTATTACCTCATTTATTAAAGCGATTGTTCTCTTTTTATGGAGGGATTTTTTTTTCGAAGCCCGGTCGTCGTGTTTTGTGTTTCAGACCCTTATTCTCGCTCTGTCAAAAACCGTTTTTTTTAAAAAAATTGAATTATTCAGAATAAAGGGACGCAGGAGGCGCGTGAGCCCTTACCAGCCACAGAGCCTGCGCAGGACCCTCGCAGCAAAGCGACATGGGAGTTGTAGTCGTGGCCCTGACCACCGCTTCTCCCTGCCCGAATCCCATCCCGTAACCTTCGCTCCCCCTCTACCTTTCACCCCTCTACCCACACCCTCTTCCCCCAACCCTCTTCTTCCCCCCGCCCAATCTACTGTCCTCCTACCTCTTCCAGATTCCGCTGACCCCCCCGTTCATTTGACACCCCCATCCATTTGAAATTCCCACCCCTCTGACCCCCCCCATTTCTTTGAACATCCCCGACATCCAATCGCTCTGAACTCCCCCATCCCGATCCGTCTGACCTCCAATACCAGTGACCCGTATGCCTGTTTCTCCCCCATTCCTCTTTTTCCCCCAAGTCCTGCTTCTCCTCCATGTCTTCATGTTATGTAAGTATAGCTATTAAATTGCTGTTGGATGCATGACCGTTGGATTTGCCAGGTTCCTATTCTCATGGCATAGATGTGTGTTCTGTAAGGGAAAGAAGCGATAGAGCTCTTTAGTGCTAAATGTGTCAAACTGGATTAACTTGCTTTGTATGATTAATTGCTTTGCAAAGTGACAGAATAATATAAACCATCATACAAGTAAGAACTCTGACTATTCATCATTGCTCCCTTAATCCTCATTTGTAAAGAGAAGCATCTTGTTCATTGAGGAAATCTATTTCAAAGTTAGTGATTATTTTATGCTTTGTATTCCTTTGTGAAATAATTGACTGCAAAATGTTAGTTTTTCATTATAAACATGTCATCGAACAATTGATAGACAATTTTCATTGAAAATATTATCTGACATGAGTATCAATAATGTCCTTATTGTATGTGCTTTAATGTACTAATTGTCTTGATTGTTTCGGTACAATCACTGCATTTATAGCTTTGGAAATGCTGTTTGTCCCTGAATTATTTTAGAATAACTTATATTTTCAATGGCAGTACTATTTAGACTGTGTATAAGTTCTGATGAGAATTCAGCACTGAGGTGCTTGGTGTGACAGGCATTATTAACTTACTTTCCTTTTTCCATTATTTCCATCTTATCCTAGAGGTGCTGACTGTTTCTCGGCTTTTGATCCACAAAAGTTGTCTGCCCTTTGGCCTCTATCTTAAGTGACCATTTCTTGTGTGTGCATCACAAACGTGCCCTTTTGTCTCACTTTAAAATTAATAAAAATGGTTTTATTTAAACTATTTTTCTAATCAATCTGTTTAAATATGTTATTAAACACTTGGAACAGATGGGAAACCTCTTGGTCCAGAGGTGTGGACACTTCCACTGTACCACAAGAGGGCCCTTTTGTCCCACTTTAAAATCATTGAGGCAGATTGTGAACAGCTAGGGACCAAACACTGGTTCTTGTGTTATCCAACTAGTCACAGCCATCCTGAGAATTATTCATTTATTCCTGCTTTCCAATTTCTGTCCAGTAACTAATCCTCAAACCATGCCAATATATTACCCCGATTGCATGTGCTCTTATTTTGCTTAATAGATTCCTGTGTGGGATCTTATTAAAAGCCTATTGAAAATCCAAATACATCACTTTAGTTGGTTCCCCCATTGTCTATTATGCTTGTTCCATCCTCAAAATATCTAATAGGTTTGTCAAATGTCATTTCCCTTTCATAAATATATGTTGATGCTGCCCAACCCTACCGTTATCTTCTAAGTATCCAATTATCACATCTTTTATATCTTGATATCTCTATAGATTCTAGAATATTCCCTACCACTGATGTTAGGATAACAGGTCTGTAGTTCCCTATTTTGTGTCTCCCTCCTTTCTTAAGTAGTGGGGTTACATTTACTACTTTCAATCTGCAGGAACTTCTCCTGAATTTATAGAATTTTGTAAGATGACCACTACCCCATCTGCTATCTCTAATGCCAATTCCTTCAATGGTCTATGATGTAGATAATCAGGTGCAGGGGATTTATCAACTGTTATTCCATTAGTTTCTTAGAATTCCGTCAGATAGTTCTTTGCCGCTTACCACACTAAGTGTGCACCATGCCTTTTCAGCACCACTCACATGCCATTTTGTGTCTACTAACAACAGAAATGCTTGCCGCTGCCAGTACCGATACTATATCAAAGGACAGCTATTCACTAGGTCAAATGCTACCAACGGTGAAAAATACATGGGAAGGCAATTGATGAGGGTGACTCAGCGAGTCTACAAAAGGAAATAGACAGGTTAAATGAGAGGTCAAAAGCATGGTACATGGAATATAATGTGGAAACTGAGAGGTATTTGGCAGAAGGAATAGAGAAAGACTGCGTAAAGCTGCAGCATAGAGGGATTTAGGGTTCTTGTGCTAAAATCATAAAAAGCCAGCTTTTAGGTTCAGCAGTTAATAGGGAAGGCAAATGCACTCTGTACCTTTATTCAATAGGTAGGAATGGAGTATAAAAATCAGAGAAGTCTTGCTAAAACTATGGCAGTAGTTAGACCACACCTAGAATGCTGTGAACAGTTTGGTCCCTTTATCTAAGGACAGATGCACTGGCATTGGAGGCAGTCCAGAGAAGGTTCACTAGGTTGATTTTGGGCATGAAGAGATCTTGTTATGAGGAGAGGTTGAGCAGTTTGGTCCGGTAGTCATTGGAGTTTAGAAGAATGAGAACAGACCTCGTTGAAACTTACAAGATTCTTGGTGGTCTTCATAGGGCAGATGCTGAGAGATTGTTTCCCACAAGGGAGATTCTAGGATCAGGGAACATAATTTCAATGTGGGAGGTCACACATTTAAGACAGAGAAAAGGACAAATTTCTTCTCTTTAAAGGATAATGAATCCGCGGAATTCTTCACTGCAAAGGGTTGTAGAAACTGAATTGTTGTGAGTATTCGAGGCTGAGATATACAGCAGGAAAATAGAGTTAAGGATTATCATATCAGCCATGAATTCATTAAATGGCAGCAAAGACTCGATGGATTGAATGGTCTATTTTTGTTCCTACATCTTATGTTCAGGAGTAGCTCTTTATGGTAAACTAGTTGGAGGGAAGTGAAGAAGAAAAGCTTCTGAGGGCAAATAGGTGGCACAGGTGACACTTCACTGTAAATATATTTGCGTTTTAGTCATCGCTTGTCTAATCAACTGTCATTTGATGATTTAATCTGTTTTTGTGGCATTATTTGGGGAATAAATATTGGTGGCAGCATAAGGAATAATAAAGAAGATCTTGCCATGAGATCATTTAAATCCATCACAGCAGATAAATGGGGCCTTGCATCTGAGTTAACTCCTCCAGTGTTGCAATACTACTTCATTGGACTCAGCCTTGGTTTTTTTGTGTTTCGGTCCTGGAGTGGTACTTGAACTTGGAACCCTTATGACACATAGGACGGAGTGCTGTCAGCTGAGTCACAGATGACAGAGCTTGTGTTTTAAAACATGAGGTTGAGTTGGATTAAGAGATTTTTGAAATCATAATTCTTATCCCAAATGTTTGGAGGAAATTGCCTCTGGAAATATCTTTGACATTAAAGATGATGTAATTGAATAAATATTGAATACAAGGATCTCAGTAGTTGTAAAAGGACTAGGGATGGAGTTTTAAATAGTATGAAGTGATAGCTAAGCAAAAACAAAACAAAGAATTGCAGAACCAGAAATTGCTGGGAAAACTCAGCAGGTCTGGCAACATCTGTGGGTTCTCAACAGGTTCAGAACAGGGTTCTGAAGAAGGGTCACAGGACTCAAAACGTTAATTCTACTTTCTCTCCAGAGATGCTGCCAGACCTGCTGGGTTTTCCAAGCAATTTCTGTTTATGTTGGAGGTGGTAGCTGTTGGCTGAACCTCTGACAAATTTGATGCTTAGAAATATGAGTTGCTTACAGAAATAATATACTTACTTAGTCATACTATAAGAGTTGTCTACAATGAGACCGCTCACTTTGATCCTTGTGTACCATGACAGTATTTATGGAAAATATGACAGCCACTTCTCTATATGAAGTACTTTATATTGTCTGCTCACTTACCATTGTTTCTTGCAATTACACATTATTCAACTAATTCAGAGATTCCTGGATTGCCTCCATTGTTACCATTTCCTTTGTTGTTTGTATCATATACAAATCTCACCAATTGTGCTGAATAATGAGCAAAGGCATAAGTTAGGAACAGTACTCGTCACGTTTCATCCTAAATTATCCAAACGTGTGATTTACTAGTTAAAACATTTCGGTAGGAAATGTGTTGTGGTAGGCTTATGGAGTTGGGAGAAATGGGTAAAGCTTGACAAGTTACTGTGTAATCTACAATTTGAGTGTTTACAAGAGGAAAGATCTAAAGAAGTTGAAATGGAATGCAAACAATGTCATGGACTGATTGGGCTGAATGGCTTGTCCTGTGCTGTATATCCTATGTAATCCTAAGTAAGGTGAACCACTGGTGTATGATATTAGTGTTTCTTTATGGGCAATGATTAAGGAAGAGTGGAAGCAAAATCTTGGGATGGTCTTAATCGTTGTTTTCAGAAATGTTGTGATTAGTATCAATGCAACATGGATAATTTTGTATGCTTGGAATGTTTGTTTCTGTCCATGGATGCCTCGGGAACTGTTCTGTGATCCCTTTGTAAACTATGGTGTTCATTAAAAGTTTAGTTTTGAGTTCACTTGTCACTGAGTGCAGTAGCATCACTTGAGAATCGAGTTTGTCACCTACAATTATTCAAAAAGTATGATTTAGGAGTAGGTCATTTGACTTCTCAAGCCTGCTCTGTCATTTGATCCCTTAGGTATCAGTCAAGAATCTGTCAAACTGCTTTCTGGGAAGGAGATTTCCAAAGACTCATGACCCTCAGAAAAAGAACTTCTTTTGACATTCACCTTAAGTGGACTTTTCTTTGTTTTTAAACTGCGTCCCCTGTTTATGTTGTCTTGCCCACGAAGGAAAACATGCTCCCAGAATCCACTCCCTCAGTCCTCTGAGGATCTCATCCGTGTCATTTAAATTGCTTCTCATTGGTGAGGTGATGGCTTAGTGGCATTATTGCAAGACTGTCAGTCCAGGGACCCAGGTAATGTTCTGGGGGGACCTGAGTTCAAATCCTGCCAAGGCAGATGGTGCAATTTGAATTCAATGAAAAAAAAATCTGGAATTAAATCATCTAGTGAGAGATAGTAGGAACTGCAGATGCTGGAGAATCTGAGATAACAAGGTGTAGAGCTGGATGAGCACAGCAGGCCAAGCAGCATCAGAGGAGCAGGAAGGCTGACGTTTCAGGCCTAGACCCTCCTTCAATCATCTAGTGATGACTATGATGTCAGATAAGCCCATCTGGTTCATTCACGTCCTTAGGGAAGGAAACTGCCATCGTTACCTGATCTGGCCTAGGTGTGACTCCAGACCCATGTGTAGTTGACTCTTAACAGCCCTCTGCTTAACCAGCGCCATCCACATCCAATGAACCAAAAAAACTTTTCTTACAGCAATTTTCTACTATATTAGTCTTTCTTTCCAAATTTTTTTAACCTTCCTATATTTACTTATTCTTTACTATTCCATTCATTTTATTTTTGTCAACAATCAATAGTAACATGATTATGAAACTTATTTGAAATTCCCCTTGGGAGACTAAGCATCTCAAGAAATTGTAATGGATTTGAGTTATTTATGTTTTTGTTGGAGTTGTGAAACTGCAATAACTGGAAGTTTTCATCAATTTCTTGTAATTTATTTATTTATTAACTGAGTTTGGTTTTAAAAGTGGATGAAACTAGGCCTAGAAGAAAAATAGAAACACAGAAGCAGGAGTAGGCAGTTCAGCCTGTCAAGCCTGTTCCACCATTCAACATGGTCATGACTGATCAAAACTGCAATGCCTTTTATCCACACTATCCCATTAACTCTATACCAATGGTAATGAAAAATTGATCAACATCTATTTTAAATGTACCCAAAGACTGAGCTTCCACAGCCTTCTGAGGTAGAGAATTCCAAAGATTTACAAACCTGAGTTAAAGTTTTCCTCAACTTGGACCTAAATGGCACCAGTCTTAAATTATGTCCTGTAGTTCTAGACTTCCTAACCATGGGAATTATCTTGCCTGTATCTTCTGGGTTCCAGTGTTTTTCTATATTCTTTATGGAGCAACATGTCTCCTGTTTCCTCATTTCTCTCTCCTCTTCTTTCCTTCAGAAACAACCTTGCAATTTCCCTTATTTGGAAGTTTTGTTTCAATCCAGAATTGTGGATATTTCAGTGACCAATGCAAATAGCTAACTGGTTTGACTGAGCATTATATGTTTTGCTTAAACAATCTGTATGCATGTCTTCCTCGCCCAACATTGGATTTAATAACACGATTTGTCGCAAATGTAGAATTATTTAAAGTATTCCAGATCTGCTGTTAAATGGAAAAAAAGCAAATGGTAACACTTTTGTTCAAGAAAGGGGGGAGGCAGAAAACAGGAAACTATAGGTCAGTTAGCCTAATACTTGTAATGGGAAAGATCCTCGAATCCATTATTAAGGAGGTTATAGCAGAATACTTAGAAAATCATAATGTGCCCCAGCAGAGCTAGCATGGCTTTGTGAAAGGGAAATCATTTCACTAACCTGTTTGAGTTTTTTGATAAAGTAACATTTGTGGTGGATACAGGGAACTGGTAGATGTGCTGTACTCCGATTTCTAAAAGATATTTGATGTGGTTGCTGCACAGAATAAATGCACATCCTATAGGAGGTTAGATATGAGCATGGATAAAGGGTTGATTATCTAGCAGGAAGCAGAATAAATACTGAAAAGCTGTGGACAGGCAGTAGTGGGTTGCGAATAAGTCCCGTCTCGGGTTGTTGGCAAATTGATTTGTAAGTTGGAACACAGTGCAAGACAATATTAAATAGCCATTAATAAGAGCAGGAAATGTTTGTACATTAAATCTTTAAAATTACACCCTTGTATTCGTCAGTACGAGCACTCATAAGTTGAACGTTCATAAATTGGAGACTCCCCTACTATTTAAATGGAAAGAGATGGCAGAACTGGTGGTCCAGGGGCTTCAGAGTTTTCAGGAGCATGAATCAAGTAAATAGAATGTTGTCATTTATTGAAAGGGGGAATGGAATATAAAAGTGGGGAAGCTCTATTGTGGCAGTCCAGAGTGTATGTGAGACCACATCTGGACAACTGTGTACATTTTTTTGACTCCTTATTTTAAAGATTTAATTGCTTTAGAAGTAGCTCAGAGATGATTTACCTGAATCATTCCTGGAATGCAGAGCTTACCTTGTGAAGAAAGGTTGAACAGTTTGGGCCTATATCCAACAGAGTTTAAAAAAAAGACATTACCTTATTGATATTTTCTAATCAATCTGTTAAGAGATATTATTATACACCTTTGGAGTAGGTGGGACTTGAAGCCAGGTCTCTTGACCCAGAGGCAGGGACATTACTCCGTGCCTTGTCACATTTAAGATTGTGAGGGGGATTGACAGGGTGAACACCTCGAGAATGTTTACTCTTGTTGGGTGACTATAAACTGGGGGACATGGTTTAAGAATAGAAGGTCTCCACTTTAAGACAAATGAAGAGAAATTTCTTCTGAGTGTATAGAATGTACACTTTGCCAGAAGGTGGTGGTGGTTGGGTCTTTAAACTTATTCAAGGATAAGTTAGGAAGATTTTGATAGCTAGGGGAGTATAGTGATATGGGGAACAGACAGGAAAATGAAGCTGAGACTGCAAGCAGATCAGCTATAAACTTACTGAACGGTGGAAAGAATTCAAAGGACCAAAGGGCCTAATCCTCCTCCTCAGTTGTACGTTCCTGTGGCGATTACTTTTGTAAATAGTCAGTTGCACTTGTTCTATTGTTGATGGATATGTGTGGGAGAAAACAGACGTTTGTATACATTTGTACTGTAACTGGTCAAACATAGTTTGGTTAAATGCAGTGTAAAGCTTTGTGACTCAAAAAAAGAAAATCAATCCTCTCTACCTGTGATGATATTTCAGAATACGCAGAGTGCTAATAAGCATTGTTTGGAAAGATGTTTTCCAGCTGATTGTGCTTCTCAAAAATATTAATGCTGACATTTTAAAATTGGCAACATTTTTGTATCTATAAATAAGTTGAGTAGCTCTATTAATCACTGTCCAATGCCTATAATAAATATTACAGCACTAGTTGGCAGATATATAATTGTGAAATTAATGCCTGCTGTTTCTACTCCTGCATGTTGTTGCCAGGACAATTTTGTTTGTACTCACACTGTTGTAATTGTTTTTCCATAAGGGTTTGAAAGCATTTTGGAAGGTCTGTTTGGACGTAAACTTCTAAAAGATATCAGCCTGTTTGAAGGTAAACCTTTTACATTTATTTTCTAACAACGACACCCAGTAGTGGCATATGAAAACTTCAGCCTCATATGTGAGCCCAAATGCAAGAAATGGTGGAGAATATTTGTTTTGTTCCATAGATTTTCTATGTTTTTGGAAGCGGGAAAGGAGACAAGATCCTTACCATACTAATTATTCTTTAACAGAGTTCTTTTTATTTGTTAATGGGATATTTGTCCCTGGCAAGGCCAGCACTTATTGTCCATCCCTAATTGCACTTTTGAAGGTGGTTGTGAACTGCCATCTTGAGCCATTGCAGTTCATGTGTTCTAGGTACACACACATTGTTGTTAGAAAAGACATACATTTTGGTTATCTGCTATAAAGGAAGTTGGTGGGGAATTAAACCCCTTAAAACTTAGCCCTGTTTGAGCAGTATTCTAAGTATAGGCATGAAAACAATTGCAACATAAGTAAATGTGATTATTATCTTCAATAAATAAAGCATGAAACACAAGCAAATGAACTCAGGAAGGTTCGACTTGCAAAGAGCCTTCTTGGGAAGGTGAAGTCATGTAATGGAAGTGTTTGTTTAAATGCATTGCCTTAAATAATTTCACAAGCTGTGGACTTGGTGTCTTGTCTGTTATAATAAAGGTTTTGCTTACATTTTTGTTGATTTGATCTGAGAACAGAAAGATGCTGTTCTCATCTTGGACAAATTGGTTGCTGATTATTTCTGTCACTTTGACACATGAAGTGTATGTTGAATGGAACAAGCAGGGAAAATATTAAATCTTGGCCTAAATTACTGAAGGTGAAGGCAACCACAGATAACTGTACCCTGGCCACTGGTTATTTTTCGATGCAAGATGTTTATAAGCCTCTCTGTTCTGTATATTTATTATTTTGGTTTGATATGCCGAAATGATGAGGAGCAAAGGGATCTGCATTGTCTTTGTTGGATTGTGCTCAGTATTTATTTAGAGAGTCAGTGTAAATTGATTGTTTAATCATTTAAAAAATATTATGAAGATTGAAGACACTGGCATTATCCTGTAAAGGGATCCCATTGTCTTATGTTATTACTGATCTCTGCCGGATCAAAAGGATTTAAATAAAAAGGGCACCAAGGACTCGACAAAGAGATATTTCAAAAATTTAACTAAGCGAATTTTGTTTTGTAATTATAATACAATATTGATGATTGATTAATTCACATTTGGCCTTAAAGGACTGCTTGTGCACTTCTGATTTGGTTTTGTTAGTCCTCTGTTGGTAAACATTTAATAGCCAATCCTTGCATTGTTGTTATACCCTTAATAATTTATTGATTACATCATTTAGATCCATTTTTAAAAATTTAGAACATGTTGATGCTGGAGATGAAATGTAATCCATTTTGGGTTACCAAAATCAGACTCGGCACTACCTCACCAACAATAACATGGTTCGATGCAGTATAAAATTCCTGCTACTCTACCCAACAACATGGGTCAACTTTGTATACTGTACTAATATATTCCCACTTCTCACAAGTGTAATTCTTTGTTACACTCGGTTGATATTGAAAGAAAGACAGTTTTTGGTGTGTCATACCCATTCAGAACTGAATTCTGATTGTGCAGAAGCAGTTTGCATTACACCCTTAAAACCATCTGATCACGGACTCGTTAATCCCTTTATGATGGGCTGGATTTGACATCACGTAAGTCAAGGATTGTTATCTGACCCTCTGCCCAGGTTCTCCAGACTGACTTTTTGAACAGTGCATTTAATGTGCTTAACTTGATAAGTTAAGCTTAACTTCTTACACTCATAACAAAAACAGTTCACACTGAGGTCTCTCGGTGACTTTGAGGTCCATTGTAAGGTGCATCCTATTGATTTAAAATCAAGAATTGGACAGAATGATATTGCTTTTAATATTTGATTTACCATCCATTCTGGTAAGTACCAAATGCTTTGTTGTAGATGGTGCCTAGTATTCATTTAACATGTCATTGTGCTTAGGGAGATGGGGTAAAATTGCAATGAGATTTATTTTTAAGACTATTGAATGAAATGTTACATTGATAGAGGGTTTGGAGCCACTTGTACCTCTGGTCTCTCAGCTATAAGGTTGGCTTGGCAAAATTTGTGTGAGAAGGGAAGAATCAAGTGGTTTCATATCCTCAAAAGATTTGCAGCAGGGAGAAGTGAGCATAGAGGGAGAATAACAATTAATGTGAGGCAAAGCAGCAGGTTAGTAGGTGACGAGGAAGCTTCAACTCCATTGAAAATTAGGAAAAAAGTTAAAGGGAAGGAGAACGCAAGAGCTGTTAGTAATGGAGGTAATAGGACCCAAAAAGAAGGTGAGAAAACTGGCCTAAGGGCACTTTATCCGAATGCTCGGAGCATTCGAAACAAGGTGGATGAGTTGACAGTGCAACTCATGGCAAATGGGTATGATTTAGTGGCCATTACAGAGACATGGTTACAGGATGGTCATGACTGGGAGTTAAATATCCAGGGGTATCAAACTGTTCGGAAGGGCAGACAGGAAGCTAAGGGAGGTGGTGTTGCTCTGATTTTTAAGGATGATATCAGGGCAGTAGTGAGAGATGATATAGGTTCTACTGAACAAAACGTTGAATCCATTTGGGTGGAAATTAGGAATAGCAGGGAGAAGAAGTCACTGATAGGTGTGGTCTATAGGCCACCAAATAACGACATTGTGGTGGGGCAGGCAATAAACATAGAAATAGCTAATGCATGTAAAAATGGTACAGCAATTATCATGGGGGATTTTAATCTACATATCGATTGGTCAAACCAGGTCGGTCATGGCAGCCTTGAGGAGGGGTTCATAGAATGCATCCGCGATAATTTCCTTGAACAATGTAATGGAACCTACGAGAGAGCAAGCTATCCTAAATCTAGTCCTGTGTAATGAGACAGGAATAATTAATGATCCCACAGTTAGGGATCCTCTCGGAAGGAGCGATCACAGTATGGTCGAATTTAAAATACAGATGGAGTGTGAGAAGTTTTAATCCAGTACCTATGTCCTGTGCTTAAACAAAGGAGACTATGAAGGAATGAGGAAGGAGTTAGCTAAGGTAGAATGGGAGCAAAAACTTTATGGTGGGTCAATTGAGGAACAGTGGAGGACTTTCAAAACAATTTTTCACAGTGCTCAGCAGAAGTATATTCCCGTGATAAGGAAGAACTGTAGGAAAAGAGAGAGCCAGCCATGGATGTCTAAGGAAATAAAGGAAAGTATCAGATTTTTAAAAAAAAACACATACAAAAAAGTAAAGAGTAGTGGGAAACTAGTAGACTGGGAAATCTTTAAAGGCCAACAGAAAGCCACAAAAAAAATTATAAAGAAAAGTAAGATAGATTGAGAGTAAACTAGCTCAGAATAGAAAAAACAGGCAGCAAAAGTTTCTATAAATATGTAAATCGTAAAAGAGTGGTGAAGGTAAACATTGGTCCTTTAGAGGATGAGAAGGCCAATTTAATAGCTGGGAATGAGGAAGTAGCTGAGACATTAAACAGTTATTTCGTATCAGTCTTCACAGTGGAAGACACAAATAACATGCCGAAAACTAATAGCAAGAAGGTTAAAAGCAGGTGAGGACCTAGAAACTATCATTATCACTAAGGAGGCAGTGCTGGGCAAGCTAATGGGGCTAAAGGTAGACAAGTCTCCTGGCCCTGATGAAATGCATCCCAGGGTACTAAAAGAGGTGATGGGGGAAATAGCAAATGCACTAGTAATTATTTACCAAAGTTCACTGGACTCTGGGTGGTTCCCGCAGATTGGAAAACAGCCAATGCGACGCCACTGTTTAAAAAAGGAAGTAGACAAAAAGCAGGTAACTATAGGCCAGTTAGCTTAACTTCGGTAGTGGGGAAAATGCTTGAATCTATCATTAGGGAAGAAATAGCAAGACATCTGGATATAAATTGTCCCATTGGGAACACCCAGCATGGGTTCATGAAGGGTAGGTCATGTTGAACTAATTTGGTGGAATTCTTTTAGGACATTACTTGCATGGTGGACAATGGGGAACCTGTGGATGTGGTGTATCGAGATTTCCAGAAGGCATTTGACAAGGTGCCACACCAAAGGCTGCTACATAAGATAAAGTTGCACAGTATTACAGGTAATGTATTGGCATGGATAGAGGATTGGTTGACCAATAAAAAGCAAAGTCTAGGGGTAAATGGGTGTTTTTCTGGTTGGCGGTCAGTGGCTAGTGGTGTGCCTCGGGGATCAGCGTTGGGACCTCAATTGTTTACAATTTACAAAGATGATTTGGAGTTGGGGACTAAGTGTGGTGTGTCAAAATTTGCAGATGACACTAAGGTGAGTGGTAGAGCGAAGTGTGCAGAAGACACAAAGTCTGCAGGAGGATATAGATAGTCTAAGTGAGTGGGCAAAGGTCTGGCAGATGGAGTACAATGTTGATAAGTGAGAGGTCATCCATTTTGGTAGTAATAACAGCAAAATGGACTATGTTTTAAATGGTAAAAAATTGCAGCACGCTGCTGTGCAAAGGGACTTGAGTGTCCTTGTGCATGAATCGCTGAAGGTGGGATTGCAGGTGCAGCAGGTGATTAAAAAGGCAAATGGAATTTGGTCTGCCATTGCTTGAGGGATGGAGTTTAAAAACAGGGCGGCTATGCTGCAGCTGTATAGCGTCCTGGTGAGGCCACACCTGGAGTACTGTGTGCAGTTTTGGTCTGCTTACTTGGGAAGAGATATAGTAGCACTGGAGGGGGTGCAGAGGAGATTCACTCGGTTGATTCCAGAGTTGAGAGGATTGGATTATGAGGAGAGACTGAGTAGACTGGGCTTATACTCATTGGAATTCAGAAGAATGAGGGGAGATCTTCTAGAAACATATAAGATTATGAAGGGAATAGATAAAGTGGAGGCAGGGAGGTTGTTTCCGCTAGCAGGTGAAACTAGGACTAGAGGGCATCGCCTCAAAATAAAGGGAAGCAGATGTAGGACTGAGGTCAGGAGGAACTTCTTCGCCCAAAGGGTTGTGAATCTGTGGAATTCCCTGCCCAGTGAAGCGGTTGAAGCTACCTCACTGAATGTTTTTAAGGCAAGGCTAGATAAATTTTTGAACAATAAAGGAATTAAGGGTTATGGTGAGGTAGGCGGGTAAGTGGAGCTGAGTCTCAAAGATCAGCCATGATCTTATTAAATGGCAGGGCAGGCTCGAGGAGCCAGATGGCCTACTCCTGCTCCCTAGTTCTTATGTTCTTATACAGAAGCTGATTTCTTAGCTTTCTTTCTTTTGCAACATGAAGGAATTTTGCCAAGTGTACCTCTGGTCGACTGAAATATTAGAAAGATTTATCATTCGAAAGGAAGTTATTTGGCAGATTGTACACCCTCCCAAATGAAAGATGGGGAAAAAAAACTAAGTAACAAAGCCAATCTTGTGTTAGGCTAAAATTATTCTTGAATTCTACAGATTGTGAGCCTACAGGTGTTTCTGACTGGTCATTTGATGAAAACTGTCTCTTCTGTTGCATGAGAAGAGAAAAAGTGAAGGTAAGAAGCAATTTGAAATATTTAATTTTAGCGACTGGTTGGTACACTTGGTTTAGAACAGAATGACACTGCTTAGTCTATTAGCTGGTAAAACCAGCAAAAATGGTTTTGTTCAGATTATATATTTTTGGGGGTATGTAATCTTTCTTCCCTTATTGTCTTTTGTTGCTGTTGATCAGTTGTGGCAAGCTGAATGAGCATTGCCTAGGGCTTAAATGCTGACTATCCATCTGTCTTTTCTTTGTGTTTAACTCCCCACCTCTCCCCCAAAAAAAACCTTCAATGGAATTTGCAAACAATGTTGGACATGGGACGTTCCTACTCTCAATTCACTGCTGATGATAGTCATTGTAGTTGAGTGGAAGGAACTAGACCTTAACTAACTATAGGATACAAAAGAAATTTAAAGAAGAAACTAGTATTTAATTGTAAGTATGTTTAACTTTTTAAAGAGAAATTTGATTAACATAATTTCCATTTCTAACATGGGCTCACATCCTTCCATTCATGAGAGATGATGTGAATGTGGTCTCGGTGCTTAGGTGAGATCAGATGAGAATTATCTGCATTCTTTGATGGCTGAATAAACAGTTTCTTGAAAGGAAAAGTCTGTTAAAAGCTCCAGACATGAGATTGTTCCTTGCTGGTGGTGTGGGCTAATCTCTGCTGACATCTTGTATGTAAGGCTGGCCTCTACTTTGGAGATTCTTAAAACACATTTTATTGTGATGAATTCCTGCCTGCAACTCATGTTACAGTTTGCAACAGCTCAGGATTCCCATTTATGTGTCTTTGAATGCACCATTGAATTGGAGCTTTCAGCACCCTCTTGGTCACTTTGTGTGGGCTATCTCCTTGGTATAACAGTTCTTGGGAATGCAGCACCTTCTATTCTGAGTACATGTCCAAGCCAGAGGAGTTTTCTTTGCTTGATTAGTGTCAACATGCTTGGCATATTTGTTGTAGAAACACCTACCTCATCGGTAGCTTTGTCTTTCTGCGTGATGCTAAGGATACGATGTAGATACTGTGGATGAAAGTTATTGAGCCTTTGTTTTGTGAAATATTCGTAAGATGGCTTTCTCATCACTTTACAGATAATGTGTATGGTAATAAAAAGGCCTACTTTATCAAATCTCCTGTAATGCCTTCCTCAATGAATCTTGAATGAAGCAAAATGAATTTTGCTTTTCATCTATAAAAATAGCATAGATTTGCTGCAAGAGGCAAATTCAAAACTTTAGTTGCATTAGCTGATATAACTCGCTCATTTTACACACCCAGATCTTTTTGATGCAAAGTAGCACATATAAAGTGCTACTTAGAAGCTAAATATTGTAAGGAAACTGCTGTTTACTTTCTTTTTCAACTGGGATCAGCAAAAAAGCATCCTGAGGAAGGGTCACCGGACCCGAAACGTTAACTCTGTTTTTTCCTTCACAGATGCTGCCAGACCTGCTGAGCTTTTCCAGCAACTTTGTTTTTGTTCCTGATTTACAGCATCTGCAGTTCTTTCGGTTTTTATCAGATTTTTCTGATGGCTCAGTGGTTTACTTCTTGGCAATAGTAGGTCCAGTTAACCTGATACTGCGTATAACACATTGCTGGCATTATGTTATATTTGCAACTTCAAATTTTCTGGTTGCAAAGAAATTTTAGCTGAATGTCCCAAATATACTCAATTGTGATGAGTCTAGGTGGGCTTGTAGTTTAGAATTCTTGATCAGGTTACTGTTGTTGCAGGCTGTATAACTCATAACATAACAGCTGCAGATTTTGCATTGCATGTGTTGATATCAGCATCGAGTGGCGCATTGAGTGCTGATTAATACTGCGAGAGCAACATCCTTGCCCATGGCATTTGTCCGTTGATGGTCAAAGCAAACCTTTTACAGGTGTGAGAGAGCTTGTCCATATGGTGTTTGTATTAGCTTGTTTCATTCCAACTTTCTCATTATAACCAAAAAATAATGCATGAAGGAGACTGAACACTATCCTACACAGGTTAATCAAGTAAAACATTTATCTGCAACACTTAAGGCAAAGCAATTGGAAATAAGAAAACATAAACTTGTAAGGATTCCAATGTTGGCTATGAATTCCATCTAAATCAGCAAAAATTTTGTTATATTCATGTCAATTAAGTACAGTATTTATAACAACCTCAAACAAATACACTTATTGATAAATGAATTTATAAGCTACTACAAGTACAGGCAGATGTGGAAGGTACATTTTTGAAAAAAAAAGTTATTATCAAAGAACATTTGGAAGAAGACAGCTTTATACTAGGATGATACTCAAAGTGGCAAGAAAAATAACTTGCCCTTTGGTCAATTCTGAGTATCTTATCCCTGTGATGGGAAACAACAACAATTCTGTTGATACAGGATTTTTAAAACTTTGTTTGAAAGAAACGCTGGAATTTGAATGTAGGAGCACAAGGAATACTGTTTACATAATTATATAAGTATTGTCTGAGTGCGCGCATGTGCGCGATTCCCCCACACACGCGCGCGCACATCCTCTCTCTCCACTTCAACCTCTCGCTACTGCGCACACGCCCCACCCTCTCCAGCACTCCCCCCACTTCTGTGCCGCCCCTTTTCCTGCGTACCCCTCTCAGTCTCTGCACCCCGTGCGCCCCCCTTTATGCTCCCCCCGCCCCCCACCGGGCATTTGCGTTCCCCCCCCGACGCGCGCGCTCTCTTCTACCCCCCATCTCTTCCCCCACCCTATCTCTCTTCCTCGCCCTTTCGTCCCCCGTTTCACACCCCCACCCTCTCTCGCTTCCCTCCACACCCTCCCTCTCTCTCCCCTCCACTCTCCCCCTCTGTCTCAGCACCCCCCCCCCTCTCTCCCCCGCACACACACACACACACACACGCCCACCAAGATCTATGAGGTAAATTGGTAATCACAGATACCTTCTATTTTGTTCAAAAAGCACACAATTTGTAGAGTGTTAATGTGGCATTTTATAAATTCCTACTTTAGCTGTAGTTTAGTGGTTATCATGTTCGCCTCACACACGAAAGTTTCCTGGATGGAAACAAAACCAGTCTGACTCCAAGTTAATACATAGCCAGATTCTAAACAAGACCTCAGACCTAAAATGCTTGATGTCACCTCTGGTATACTAATAAAACCTTTAGTTATCTCAGGGCAGTGACTTGAAAGAAATTCTGGGATTGGCATATTAATCCTTTCTAACCGATTAAAGATTTAACAGCCATCTTAGGTTTGTTTAATACATTCGCATCCGTTCTATGACCGTTTGATCTTTTTCTCATGAATTCTGTGTCTGATGCCACCTCTCTCCCTGACACCTAAAGAAGGTGCAAGGCTCAGAAAGCTTGTGTTTTCAAATAAACTGTTGGACTGTAATCTGGTGACGTGCGATTTTTGACCTTTAAATTTAGCGATAGATGACTGATCTGAAATTTGGATTTAATCTTAAAACTGAATAATGTTAAGACTCAAATTGAAATAAAGGAATAGGTTGTGGACCGAAAAATTTCCAAATGTTAAACGTGTGGATGTTAACTGAAATTGTGATGATTTATATATGAGGGACTACACCCACATTGGAGTGAGTATTGATGCAACAGTTAGAGCCATTCAACTGAAAGTAAATTCAGTTCAGGTAAGTCTGGACGGATTTGTAAGAAAATATCCAAAAAGCAGTAAAGCAGGTGGTGCAGCTCTGTTTTTTGTGCATGTTGTAATTTAGGATTCGGTATCAGATTGTGTTTTCTCTTTTTTTCATTTTCCAACAGTTTTCATAAGCTAATCTTGTGCAACTTTTGAATGACAAGGTACTTTATCCACTGATCAATCTTTATAGAGTTTCATGATCCTACAGTTGAATAATTCACCTATTTGTAGTCAGGCACTTGGTGGATTATATGTAGTCCTGTGTTTATGAAGCACACTTCCTTTAAATAGGCAAACATTACATATGAATCAGAGGGAATTTTCTCACCTTAAAGCAATTTGTGTTTACAATTAAATGCAAAATAATTCGTCCTGGAGTAAAAATAGCAAAGTCAATAATAGACCAATTGCCTTATTGAATAATTTTATGATGAACATATAGTAGACATTGATGTTTTAATAAACAGTATCCCACTTAAGTAAAAACCAAAAGAACAGCGGATGCTGTAAATCAGGAACAAAAACAAAGTTGCTGGAAAAGCTCAGCAGGTCTGGCAGCATCTGTGGAGGAGACAGGTGACCCTTCCTCAGACCTGGAGCTTTTCCGGCAACTTTGTTTTTGTCCCACTTAAGTAAATTCGGTACAATTTCTCTTGCATCTATCTTTAGGTATCTGCTATTTACAGTGACAACATTATTAATGCAGCATAAACCTTTTAGGAGCTCCTCAATCTCAATGCAGTACATCTGAACTGAAAGACCTTCCAGTTTTTAAACACTTATTTCAAAGTCAGGATTTTAGATCATTCACTCTTTGCCTCTAAGAAAGTTGCTTTTAGATGAGATAATTTCCTGAATGCACTAATATTACACAGACATCATAGTTCACAATGGAAAATGTTTTTCATAGTTTTACGAAGAATAGTGACTCAGCGAAAAACGTTTTGCATTATGGTTTCGCACTTCCAAAGGAGGAATTCAGTGGTAATTATACAGTGAATTGTTCTATTTGAGCTTTTGTGACTACACACTCTATTATCTATAAATGCAGTGCATTAACCACAACATTTGTGGTTGCATCTTGCATTGTATTAGTATCCTGTCGGGCTAGTAGTAATCACACCTACACCTCCCCCTTTGCAGCTCTTATTAAACACTTGGTCTCTTGTGTTTTTGAAGTCTGTACGGTTTGCATACTTTGTATTGTCAGTTGTCAGCTACAAGAGTACAGTACACTTGCTATCAATATTGAAATATGTAGCAATGCTAACACAAACACTACAGATGCTGGAAATCTGAAAATAGAACAAAAATTGATGCTGAGTTTTCTGTTTTATATTCAAGGATGCTCATGATTTTTGTGAGTCATTTAGCTTGCAGTGAACACTTTATCGCTGTGCCTCCATGACAACAGGGTGACTGCATCAAAGGGCAGTGGTATTATGCTGTTTTGTAGACGTGCTATTACTATGCAGTTCCCATAGCATGACACTAGCCCCGAGTTTGACAGAATTTTAAAAATCTTGCGAATTGGGGAATTAACAGTGCCCTTCAGTGCTAGGATTTTTTTAACTAACTAAAATTACTTGTGTGCTGTTCAGCCAAATTTTCGGAGTGAGATCAACATACTTTCAGTTGATACCAATGTGTATCCCTTTATTTTGTTAATAGTAATGAACTGATTGACTTCATAAGACCATAAGATACAGGAACAGAATTAGGCCATTCAGCCCTTTGAGTCTGCTCCAACATATGATTATGGTTGATATGTTTGTCAACCCTATTCCCCTGCCTTCTCCCCATAGCCCTTGATCCCCTTACCAAGCAAAAATCTATATATCTCTGTCTTAAATACACTCAATGACTTGACCTCCACAGCCCTCTGTGCCAGTGAGTTCTACAGATTAACCACCAGCTGGCTGAATAAATTCTTCCTCATCTCAGCTCTCAAGGGTTGTCCCTTCACTGTGAGACTGTGCCCTCGGGTCCTAATCTCTTTTACCAGTGGAAATATCTTCTCCTTGTCCAAATCAAATACTATAAATAACTTGTATTCCTGGGATGGGAAGCCTCATGAATGAAGCGAGATTGAGTCAGATTAGGATTGTATTCATTGGAGTTTAGAAAAATGAGGGGTATCTCATAGAAACGTATAGCATTTTAACGGGAGTAGACAGGTTGTATGCAGGAAGGATGACCCTGATGGAAGGGAAGTCCAGATCCAGGGGTCATAGTTTAAGAATAAGAAGTAAACCTTTCAGGAATCTTTTAAGACTGAAGTGAGGAAAGTTTTCTTCATCAAGAGAGTGGTGAGCCTGTAGAATTCACTGCTACAGCAAGTGTTTGAGGCCAAAACATTATTCTCAAGAAAGAGGTAGATATAGCTCATGGCTATAGGGACCAAGGATTATGAGGGAAGGGTTGATTTGGGTATTGATCTTGACGATCAGCTGTAGCTATATTGGAACAGTTGATTCGGGATCCAGCTCGTTCTAAAGCACAAAGCTCAATTCTTTTGCCAGAATCTTGTCAGGCCTAACATGACTGCAGTTTCCAGTATCTTCAGACATGTATTGATATCAAGTAGAATTGAATCTGTGACGCCAGGGAGAGAAGGCTGAATGGATCATTCACTTGGCACTTCTGGCTGAAGTGCAGATACTTCAGTTTTGTTTTTTACATTGTTATTTTGGGTTTCCCTATCCTTGAGGATGGGGATATTTGTGGAGCCTCCATTTCCTGTTTAAATTATTTTCCTACAGTCATCCATGACTAGGTGTGGCAGGACTGCAGAGTTTAGATCTGATCTGCTTGTTGTGGGATCATTTAGCCCTGTTAATTGCATGCTGCTTCTGCTGTTGGCACAAGTAGTCCTGTGTTTTAGTTTCACCAAATCGATGCCTCATTTTTGGGTAATCTTAATGTTGTTCAGAATGTTTCTTAGAAGCCCAGTTTTGAGTTGATAGAGCTGTTCAAAATCTTTCTGAAGGAAATTAATGAAATAGATAGGGTTTTATTAAAATTGACAATGGTCACCAGTTGGCTAGCTTTTAATTCTAGACTTTGTATTAAATTTAATTTCACCATTTAAACCCATTATTTTAAGATTCTGGATTACTAGTCCAGTGATATTACTGCTATGCCACTGCTTCCCTAAGTGATGTCTGATAAGGCATGAATTAATAATAAGCAATGGCCAGCTGTGAAAGGGATGTTTGGTTGTTTGCAAACTGATTTGGTGTTAGGGAAGTGGTGGGAAAAATGGCATTTTGTTGTAGTTGTCAGATAGGTGGACTGGTGATATGCAAGGGAATCTCACAAGTAACAAGGATATTCCCAGACTACAACATGGGCTACTGCTGGCACGTTGACCATGTATTCTGCTACTGCCTCCTTGCGCTCTCTGGCATCATTAGAGGAAGCTTTGTGTCTTGTTTCTCTTCTAGGTCCAAATACCAATGCTGTATATCATATACAAAGTATTCACAGACACTGCTGTTCTGAAGAACATTGTATGTATTGAAGGGCATCTCCAGCACTACCCAAGAATATGAAATACCCTATCAGCATGTGAATGGCTTGTTTAATGACACATTTGGCTGTTGTATGACATTCCTTGTATTTCATTGCATAACTCTTGGGTTTCATTGATTGGGTTTCTCACGTGTCTATCTTCACTCAGAGGATAGTGAATCTTTGAAATTCTCTTAATAAGGCTGCATGAGTTCAATCGTTGAACATTTTCATGATTGAAATCAATAGTTTTGAGCGACTGTGTAATGATATCAAGGGGTATAGAGGTAGTGTAGCAACATGATATTGAGGTAAACGATCAGTTATCATCTTATTCAATGACAGAGCAAGCTTGATGGGCTGAATGGCCTACTCTTGTTTCTGTGTTTCTGTCTTCAGCTAACACTTTAAATGATTGCCCGTTGTCTAAGAAAAGCAATCTGATAAATTTGCTTTGAGCTATGGCAAAATAAGGAAAATTGAACTGTTACAGTTTGAAAGCATCATGACAACAGCCTGGAAATGTTGGGAACCTCTGCACTAGGATCTTTTTGTGGTTATACGCAGCTGCACTTTGGAGAGTGGACATCCTTGCAGCTGAAGGCTCCTGGTTGATCTACGTGGTCTCAATTGTCATATTTGTGTGGTCAATGATGCCTACACAGGAGCACAATCAGCCACAGCTGATCTGAGAGATTAGAGCTTCAATTTGCAGGTCTGATTCACAAATCTTCAAACTTGTAAAATTAGCCTCACAGCACAAGTACTATGAATAACGCAATTCAAACAAGAAAGCAGATATGAAGTTTCACTGCTTAATGACACTTTTCCTTTATTTTGTCTTCACCCACTGCTCTCAATTGCTGCTGTCTTCTAAGGGTTCCAGGAAGCCTGTGGGCCCCATCCACTGTTAAATGTCAACATCATGTTAATATTACTGAATTTAACTGATGACATTGTCAATTTCAATCTGCATTTCCCGGGAGTCTTTTCTCACGTAGGCAATGGAGTTTAATCTGGAATTTACTGGGTTGCACAGGCTTCCCAAGATGCAACTGGTTTCCCTTATTTTAGTCCTCATGTGCTCCCAAGTTAATGAGTGCCTATTTATGAAGGTGTTGGTTATACATCAAGTCATTTATATTTAGTAAAATTCCATTCTTTACAGGTTTGGCTCTAATTGCATGCTTGCCTCTCAACAGGAACATTTAGTCTTTCTTGATCAACCAAAGCTAAAAGTTGGAGAAAGGAAATTCTCAAGACAGGAAGAGGCCAAAATTAATCATTTTGAAAAACAAGCAGAGGAATTTCTCAATGCTGTCTTTCAAAGAAAAGGTAAATAATTGGGAGAAAATTTTTTATGGAAATACTTTGATTCTGTTGAATTGGTTGCTTTGAAGTTGTATTCCATGTTGTTTTGTTTCTATTTCTGTGTTTTCAAGTGCTTCACAAAATAACTAGATTGGCCAAGTTTGAAATTTGTCTTTTAAGTTCTTCCATTTAATTTCAAGTCAGAGGACTTTATGAAAGTTAACTGAATCTTATAACTTTAAAATGGAAACAGAAACACGATATGAACAGAATACAGGGCTCAGGGATTACAATATCAGAGAGCTACTATTGCTGCTACAGTTCCAGAAGGCCAGTTGAAAAAAAATTATAATGTGATGTCATAGAAAAATTATAAGCTGATTGTTGAGTATCCAGAGACAGGTATCTGTTTTCAAAGAGCTAGATTCACTGGAACTGATTGGTTTGCAGTTTATTTTCTACATCCTCATCTCCACTTTAAAGCAAGTACTCTGAAAGTAATCTTAAGGCATGGTAGGACAGTCGGCTATGTGGAATATCCATTCTATGCCAAATGAGAGATGCAGACGCTTCATTTGAACTAGACTAGCTCATATGCAGGATGTATCCTCAGTGCAAAAAACCTGAGCTCTGTGCTTTGAAACACCCACAACGGCTGGAGTCGTAGGGATGCATCCACAAAGGAGAAGAACGTGCATAGCATATTTAATTATCACATTTGTGAGGGAATGGGTGATCACTAAGCAGTCCAGGAAGTCCGTGCAGATAGTGCAGCAGTCCTCTGAGTCATTATCACTCACAATCTGCTTTTGGGATACTGAGGGAGCAAATGAAGGTTTGGCTGGAAAAATTAGGGAAGGAAGGGAAAGCTATTGATGTCAGGATTAGGACAGGTTCTGGGACAATTGAGAAGGGCAGAAGGACACGTCACAACTTAGGGCAAGAATCATATCCTCACAGAGGGATTTGCTAGTTGCTTTTGGAGAGGGTTTAAACTAACTTGTCAGGAGGATGGAAACATGAGAGGGACTTCAAAGAGAAATAAAACCAAGTTGGTTATGGGAAGTGGAAAAGCTGAAAATTAGAGTGGAAATTATCTAAAATCAGCAGAGTCAAATGGTAGAATAGTATTTTTAAGAAAAGACTTAAATGCACTCTGTATGAATCCATAAAGCATTTGCGACGAGATAGGTGAATTGAAAGGGTGTGATTTAATTACCATTACAGAGGGATGGCTCGGTGACAAACATTGGGAACTGAATATTTGACATTTAGGAAGGATAAACAAAATGGAGATGGGTGATATTGATAATGATGTATAGGATAAGAGTGTTGGCAGGATAAGATCTCTGAATGAACAGGATGTACAATCTGTTTGGCTGGAGCTAAAAGACACAGCAAGGGCAGGAAACGTTGGCTGTAATGGTTTATAGGCCACCAAATAGTAGTGGTAAGACAATGTCGGGTATAAATTGGGAAATTAGAGTTGCAGGTAACAAGGGAGATGAAGAAATTCAATCTACATATCGACTGGCTAAATCTAATGAGAAGGAAGGATGTGGAGGAAGAATTCCTGGAATATGTTTGAGTGCTTTCTGGAGAAATATGTTGAGGAAACATCTAAGGTGCAGACTATTATAGATCTCGTGTCATGCAATGAAAAAGAGCTAATTAATAAACTAGTTCTGAAATAACTTTACAGAAAATGATGGAATTTTCCATTAAGTTTGAAAAATATGCAGTTCAATCTGAAACCAGAATTTAAATTTAAACAAAGATAATTATGAAGGTACAATGAGGAAGTTGGCTTTGGTGGATTAGAAAAATACATTACAAAGTTTGATGGTAGATTAGCAATGGCTCATATTTAAAGAATTATTGAAAGCAACAAATGCTGGAGATCAGAGTGGGTCAGACAGCATCCATGGAAAGAGAGCAAGCTAACATTTTGAGTCAGATCTTGCGTGAAGTGTGGAGGGGACAGCGTTTATGCTTATAGTTTGGGGGGAGTGGATGTGGGGGTAGTAAGTGTAGGGTGCTGGTGGAGAAAAGATGTTGATAGTTCAGATTAAGTGATTGGAATGTGAGAATGTTAAGATTCCAGCATCTGCAGTAACTTATTCGTATGTTTTGTTAAAGTATTAATACTTGTTTTATAAAAAATTGCATTCATTTGAGCCAAAAGTACCCAAAACGAAAAGCAAGAGAGCCATTGCTAACAAGGAAAGTTAAAAATAGTCTTAGATTAAAAGAGGGTTGTAAAGTTGCCAAAAAAGTTATAACCCTGAGAATTGGGAGAATTTTAGATTTCGAAGGAGGAAAAAGATAATGTAATAATAGAATATGAATGTATCAAAGCAATAAAATGTGAAATGGATTGTAAAAGCTTCAAAGGTATATTTAGAAGGACAGAAGAATTTATGATTGGAAATAAGAAAATGGCAGAAAAGCTAAGTAAGTACTTTGTGTCTGTCTTCACAGAAGAAGACTCGAAGTTTCCCTGAAATAATTATTTCTCAAGACCCAGTGAGTTTGTGGAACCGGAAGAGATTAATATTAGTTAAAAAAGAAGTAGTATTGAAGAAATTACTGACACATGAAAGCTGATGAACCCCCAGGAGCCAGTGACCTTCACTGCAGACTGTTGAAAGAGATCTCAACAGAGATGGTAGATTCATTGGTGATCAATTCTGTAATGGTGGCTGCCGATTGGCAAGTTGCAAATGTAACCAACTGTTTAAGAAAGAGGCGAGAGAGAAAGCTGGGAAATATAGGCCTGATGGCCTAATGTCAGAAGTTGAGAAAATATTAGAATCTATTATGAAGGATGTGATTATAAACATATGGAATAGGAACATGAGTAGATCAATCACTCCCTCAAAGCTGCTGTATATTCATTTAAGATCACATCTGATCTGCTTGTATTTCAAATTCCATATTCCTGCAAACCCAGATCATGCTTGATCCTCTTACCTGATAAGGATCTAGTTATCTATTTCTCAAAAATATTCAATGACCTTGCTTCCAATGAGACAGGGTTTCCAAGTCACGCACCATTCTATGAAAAAAAAACTCCTCTATCCTAAAGGAGTCACTCCTAAATCTAAAACCGTGCCTCCCATTTCTGGACTTGCCCACAAGAGGAAACAACTTTTCCCACATCCATCTTGTCAAGGTTATTCAGGATCTTAAGCACTTCAATCAAGTGACCTTTGACTGTTGTAATTCCTAGTGGAAACAAGTTCAACCTGCCCAACATATCCTCATTAAAAAAACTCACTAATTCTAGGTTACAATCTAGTAAACCTTATCTGAACTGCATCAAACACATTTACATCTTGACAATTATATCCGTAAGGAAATCAAAATTGCACAAGTATTCAAGGTGCAGTCTCATTAATGCCCTGTACTTTTATGTGCAATTCTGCTCAAAATTATCAGGTATTTAGAAAATTATTGTTTGACTGGGCAGAGCCAAAATGCATTTGTGAAGGGAAATATTACATAACAAACCTGACAGTTCTTTTTTGTGGATATTATAAGCGGAGTTAATAAGGGGGGAAACCAGTGGATGTGGTTTGTTTGGATTTTTGGAAGACTTTTGATCAAGTCCCACACTGAATTGTTACTAAATAAAGTTAAAACATATGGAATTGTGGGAAATAAACCAGCATGGATTGAGGATTAGATACAGGTGCAGAATTAGAATAAATGAACCATTCTTAGGTTGGCAGGCTGTAACCAAAGATCAGTGCTTGGTCCCTAGCCACAATCTCTATCAATGGGTTGGATGTGGAGACCAGTTGTAATATTTCCAAATTTGCAGATGAAACAGAATTTGATGGGAATGTTACTGAGAGAGGTGATTGCTGTATATTCAACTGGGGGGGAAAAAAGTACACACATGAAACATTATTTGGGGGCTTGACTCTGAGTAAGGAGGATGTAAAACGGCAAGTGTTAAATCTCCTGTGTCTGCTTGTGAATGTGCCATAGGAAGGCAATGAGGTTTTTGGGAATCTAGTGAGTGCACCAGGGTGCCACGGAGGAAATGGTCCCTTTAGAATGCTGGCAGAGGGGATGATATCTATCTCTCAAAAATATTCAATGACCCTGCTTCCAATGAGACAGAGTTTCAAAGTCACACACCATTCTATGAAAAAAACCTCATTTTTGCTGGTGGCATCACACTGGTGGTGGCAGGAGTAGTGACAAATAATCTGTTGGAAGCAGATGTTTGTGGAGTGTAAGGTCAAGACAAAGGGGAGACATATCGTGGTTCTGGGAAAGCAAGTGCTGAGAGCACATATGTGGGAAATAGGTCAGAAATAATTTATGGGCCTGTCAACTAAGGTGATGGAATCCTAGGTGAGGCAAAAAATAGAAACGTACATATTGTCAGTTGTTGAATTTTTCCCCATTGGTTCAAGCGCATACTGGTAAACTAATGGTTCAAAATTCTATTGTATTGACTTCATTGCATAATTTCCTATATGATATGAAATTAATTATAGCAACCTAAACTGAAATTGCTATCTATTACTCATTATAACTCTCAATTATGTTGGAGCCGAACATTGTGGTACAGCACGTAAGAGGTCTTAGTTACTTGATTATTTCACCGGTGCTTGACATTGCTATTTTTGGAGTATTATCCTGAAGTGACGGCACAGAGGCCAGGTCCTGTCACCAAGTCACCGTTTACTTATTAGCGCACAGTACACTAGCTATGATCAGCCAGTTCGGAGTCACTCCTCAACTGAGGAGATTCTAATCTCCTGGTTATGCTGGTCAGCCAAGGCTTTCCTGATTGGGGTTGTTAACCTGGGCCAATCAAGAACCTTGTAGTCAATGAGGTCCACTTGGTCCCAATCAGTACAATCCATATAAGTAAGATAGTAACACAGAAACACTGACACTGCCTTTATTCTATTTTGTACTATGACAGTTTTGTTACTTTTAAAATATTTTTCTCTGAATGTGGATAATGTTGGCTAGTATTTGTTGATCACTCAGTCCTAGTT